CTATAGAACGTACAAGACTAAGGTATTGCCATTTTGGCCTATGCAATGGTCCAGCAACATATCAGCGGTACATGAATGATGTGTTGATTGAGTACCTTGACGACTTCTGCATAGCCTATTTGGACGACATCTTAATATACTCTAGGTCTATGTTAGAACACATTTAGCACGTCCGCAAGGTACTAGAAAGGCTCTAACAAGCAGGACTCCAAGTAGAAATCAAGAAAAGCGAATTCCATGTCACTTGGACCAAGTACTTGGGGTACATCCTCACAGACCGAGGCCTAGAGGTAGATCCCGACAAGGTCGAAGCCCTCCGAAACTAGGTCCGGCCCACCACCGTTACCGGTGTGAAGTCGTTCCTTGGCTTCACAGGATTCTACCGACAATTCGTAGAAGAATACTCGCGAATTGCGAAGCCTATTATCGCGCTGCAAAGCCCATCAAAGCCATTTGTATGGGACCTAGACTGCGATTGGGCCTTTAAGAGGTTAAAAGCCTCACTGCTTGCTATCCCCACCTTATATCACTACCACCTAGAGTATGATACTAGGCTGGAGACCGACGCCTCTGATGGGGTCGTGGCTGGCGTTTTGTCACAGAAACAACCAAATGGATCATGGTACCTAGTAGCTTTTTTCAGCAAGGTCCTATCCAGATTGGAGCTAAACTGGGAGATACACGACAAAGAGTTGTATGCTATCGTTGTAGCATTCGACAAGTGGAGGTCCGAGTTAGCCTCGGCTCACTCTCAAGTCCAAGTGTACTCTGACCACCGCTCGCTGGAGTATTTCATGACCACCAAGGTTCTGAACGCCAGACAAGTGAGATGGGCTGAACAACTCGCGTTGTTTAACTTCTGCATCTAATACACGCCTAGTAAGAATAACGCTCGCGCTAATATCCTTAGCTGTCGTGAGCAGGATATGCAGCACTTAAGAACTGCCCAAATCAATAACCGTTCGCGGGTCCTTCTAGGGCCGCACCAACTTGACAACTGAATCAACTCCGAACTTGCCAAGGCATATGTGGCACAACTATCAGAACAAGCTACCTCTCTATTGGTAGTTGAGCCCTCTCAGGAGACCATGTCCCTGGACTCTCTCGAGCTGATCGAGCTCTTGTTGCAACAGAATCGGACGTCGTTCGAAAAGGAGCGCCGCTCTCTCCCAGACAGGTACCGGATAGAGAACGGACTGGTGCTCTATTCGAACCGTCTCTGCGTGCTGCCAGACTCCCCCGCCTGCACACGGCTGATCCGAGAGGCCCACGATCAGGCCTCTTCAGCCCACCCAAGTGCAAAGAAGACTTATCAGCTGCTGTCTTAGAAATACTATTGGAAAGGCATGGAAGCTACCTGCAAGAGGTACGTGCGGAATTGCCTAGCCTGCCGCAAGGCCCATCCGAGACAGACCCGAGTCCCAGGGTTGATTCACCCCCTCCCCATTCCTAATCGGCCAATGCAACACCTCTGCATTGACTTCAAGGAATTTCCTAAGGACAAGGCCGGATACGATCAGATCATGGTCGTGATCGACCGGTTGTCCAAGCAGGCCATCTCTATCCCTTGCTACAAGACAATTGATGCAAGGGGTATGGCCGGAACTCTTC